CTTGAGTGTAACATAAGTCTTCCCTAACTAGTCAACAAGGCTTAAAGTATCTCCTCTAACCTATTGAGTATCATTCATCCATTAATCTAAGACCATATGACTTATGCTTATAATCATTTTACTAATAATCGATCATCTAATATTCGTTAGCATCAGATAATAATCAATTATAGTACATTAACTCATTTAGCCTCAAAAACTAAAATCAATAATAACATATGAGATCACACAATCAAAAATATTGTATGTATATATATATATATATATATATCACATAATATCAAATATCAAATATAATATACAACATACTTTAAAGCGGAACAACTCGCAAACTGACATCACTTCTAGCCTTATTAATAAGGTGAATTTAGTGAGCACATAACTTTAGTCAGATGTTTACAAATTATTTCTCATATTGAAGAAAACATTACAGACAATAATATATATGTAAATATCGCAGACCAGATCAGATAAAAAATGTAGTCACAAATGAAATCAGAAGCAGTACTTATATGTCTATATAAATATATATATATATATATATATAACAAATAAGTTGTATAACAGATGGATTGTATAACAAATGGATTGCATATGTATCAAATATTGGGTATCCGGATAGTCTCATGCCACCAAGGCCATTTGGTTATAAAATCAAATCATCTCAAAATGTTCGTAAAAGGATATACATTTAATATTGATGTTTCAACCACTGGACTAAATCATCAAATTTAGAAACAAACGAATGTTAACTTAGGCCTAACAAAGTGTTTGAGGGCTAAAATTATTAACATCTTGCCACTTGACACATAACGAATAATATATCGTCGCCTAAGCCACACAATAAATGGTTGTCCCCATGATTAATCATAGAGGTCTAAACTATTTACCCTTTTGTGCAATCCATACTTTCTATCCATTTTATTCACTTAACTACGTAGAGGTATTTTCATAATTTTTCTCAACACGGGTATTATAGCAATTTTCACTACTACAAATATTTTAACCACTTTTCTATACAAGACAGCTCAGTTATTTCATTCTTCGAGGATTTACCAAGCATATAAATCATAAGAGTATTTTAGTCATCTTGACACATAAGGACAAATTAGTCATTTACCTCACTCACAATTATATTAAACAATTAAGAGTTCTAGAAAGAGCACTTAATTAGTGGTCAGTGTCTTAACCCCTTTTCTTACGTATTCGTAGGCTTTCCTCATCACTTATTAAGATTAGGAGTATTTTGGTCATTTTACTCATTCGAGGGTATTCCCATTTTCACTAAAACTTAATAAACAATCACTAATATTTTACATAATTTCTTAGAGTCTTATGCTTTCATATGTATTTTTATATCATTATTAATCACTAAGAGACAAATTGGTAATTTTACTAGCTCCCTACTCGGATAACACATCATGCATACATACAGGACGTGTAAAGTATTATATTTATAAAAATCATGAAACAATGCAAAGTTCGAGGTACTCGCTTCAATTTCCTAAATTTGACCTACCGACTTTAATTCCAAGCTTCTAACTTTTTTCCCACGAACATGAATAGTCCAAAATTTCGTACACGACTTCCCTTGACAATATGATAATTCATTAACATCCAATTTAATGAATTCTAAGGACTAAACCGAATCAATTCCAACTACTAAACCTAACTATAACTATATTGAAATCGGAAGGCAAGACCAAAACCTTACTAAACTCGAGGGATTGATGTCGTAATTTTCCCTTCAACCTTAAAGTCTTCCGTTGACTTATTTCCATTCACGTGAGCCCTAAAAAGCTCTGTTTTAAAAACCGGATCGGACCGGCAATTCAATCGGGAACCGTTGTCTAGTCCGGTTTAATTTAAACCGGTTGAACCATTATTAGTGAATCGGTCAGAACCGCTGAACCGTTCAAATCGGACCGGCTGAAAACCAGAAAAAACAGGAAAATCGGAAATTTTGTTTTTTTTTAAAAAAAAAAATTAAACCAAACGTTGTTTGTTAAACGAGCCAAGTCGAACTCGAGTATTGCTGAGCTCGACTCGAACTTGAAAACTTTAAAAGTAAGCTCAACTCCACTCAAACTCACAAGTTAAAAATTATCAAGTTTAACTCGGACTCGAAACATAATATTGAAACTTGAACTCAAAAAGGTTTGAAATAAAAAAAAATTGAGAATATCAATTGAAGCCTAAAATTCGAGCTTGATTGAAGTGAAATAATAGTTCACTCAATGCACCAAAAGGCTCCATGATTTTGAATGCCAAATTACCTCTATTATTTATAGAAGTTAGTTGTGATGCTCTTCTATGTTTCTTAGCAATGTGGGATTGTTTTGTTCTCATATTTTTACTCTTTAGACTTTTGGGATGCTTTTCTATGTTTCTTAGCCATGTGGGATTGTTTTTAAAAAAAAATTAAACCAAACAATATCATTTTGTTATGATTTTTTTAGCCCCAAATTTATTTTTTAATTATAGTTATATAATTATATTTATTATTTAATATGTTTTACTTTAAATATTATGTTAGAGTTAATTTGAATCATTTTGTTTCACTTTATTTTATGGTTTTTAATTTATATATGTTATGACTTGTTTTGAATATAACTTGTGATATAAATTTTTTTTATTAAATATTTTTGGTATTTTTATTTAATTTTTTTAATAATTATGACGTCGTCCAGTTCTTCCGACCGATCGAACCGGTTCGACCGGTTGAACCAGTGAACCGGTAGCATGGCCGGTTCGCTAACCGATCCGGTTCTGAAAACCATGCTAAAAAGTAAAATAAAAACTTTTCATTTAATTTTTTATTATTATTAATAACTTACCGTGTATTTATATAATGGTAATAATAAATGAAACTTTCATTACTTTTCCCTTTTATAATATATATATATATATCATTAACCTAAAACATTAAAACTGTAAAACCCTCTGTTTCCTGCTTGTCTTTCCCCCATTGTTCTTCCTGCTCGACTTCCCTTCTATTTCTCTCTTTATTACAAGTTTGTTCTTTCTTTTATTTTCTTTTTCCACAATAACTATCTTAAATATAATCTCAATTATAATATCATAGTTTCATGTAAATTACTATAATCATATTATTATCCTCAACTCAAACATATTTAAATATTTCACAACCCAAAATAATAACACAACACATGCATAATAAGCAACCAAAGACCACATTACAATTTACATGGGCACATCAAATAAGTTGAGTATTGCCTTTTTATATCAAAAAAAAAAAAAAAAGGAGAGGAAGAAGAATAAGCTCAAGCTACCCCTCTACTACCTTTTCTTTAACTTGAGGAGACTCTTCAACTTCTTTTACTAGCCAAAACACCATTAAAATATTTCTAGTTAAAAACCTTGAATGAAGGAACTAAAAAGGATGATTAAACAAACATAAAATGAATGAAAATAGAATGGAGAAATCCATTCCTTTCTTATGCTCTGCAAAGATATTATTTTTCCATTAGACACCATTTCTTATTGTTCTTGAGCTCAACTTAGAGTTTTTGAAGAGATGAAGAAGAAGCTTACCTTAACTTATGATGAATGATTGGAAAATTTGAGCTAGAAAAAAATGACTCCTTGATAAGAAGCTTACCTTAACTTATGATGAATGATTGGAAAATTTGAGCTGGAAAAAAATGACTCCTTGATAAGAAAAATCCCTTCTTTGGTGAGAGATGGAAGAAATAAAGATTTTCAAAGCCTTGAATTTAGAAGAAATCAAGAGATGGAAGAAGGGAATTTGATTAGCACATGAACTGCAAAAGATTGCGTATTTCATTGGTTTTGTAGAATGGATTGAGTAGAACAAAGATTGTGACTGATTCTGCAATAGGACCGGAGGAACTGTTTTGAGATCGGACTAGCCCTTCTCGGAGAATCCAACCGGCAGCGAAATTCGTAACGAGATAAATGGAGTTGTCGGTTTGAATGTTGCTTATACATAATTTTCCTTGTTTCTTTTCATGGTTCACCACTAGGGAACGAAATCTAAAATTAAGAACAGATGATAACAAGAAGAGATGAAATGGAACCTTGTAAGAAGAATCAGATCGGATGTGACCAAGTCTTGGAAAGCATGTTGTCTGGTTCTTCTCTTGGCACCAATTATTGGAAAATTTCTCAGAGGATGTAAAGAAAATGAAATTAAATTAGGCAACGGCACATAGTTTCTGCCCAACCAATCACCTTTTTTTCTCTTCGGCTCTCGTTTATTTTAGTAGTTTCATTTGGATAAATATGATCTTAACATTATCTCTAATATTTTCATAATATATTGCTTTTTAAATTATTTCATGGAGGATGATCCAACCTTAATTCAATATTTTTAAAAAAATATATTTTCATAAATATCAGATCAAATGACAAAAAATAAATGAAATTTTTTCAGTTAATTTTATATACATTATAATCATGTATAGAAAATAATTTCTAAAACTTAATCCAATAAATCAATCGCCAGCCACGGTTGTGCATACTCATCGGACAGTGTGAGGCGAAAGTGAGGAAAAATAAGATTGAAAAAAATATTAAGAAAAATGATAAATTGATAATTTATTCCTAAACTATTTTGGGTTATGAAAAGGCTCATAATTAATATTTTATCTAAAATTAAGTGGTTAACATAAAAATTAAATAATTTTAGTAATGTGTCATGCCATCAAACTAACAACATTTAATGCTCTAATGACCAAAATTTAATAAAAAGTTATGTAAGTGACCAAAACTTAACTCTTTTAAAATTTGATGAGCAAAAGTGTACAAATAATAAAGATAAGTAACCATTCCGATAGTTTACCCTAGTTAAAATTAAGCTATTCTTTACGTATATTTCGTTAAATAATGTTATTTAAAGTTTATATTAGAAATCAAAGTTGGTTAGTTATATTGGAAAAAAACCAAAATTTGTTGTAAAAAAAATATTATTCTTTTAGAGATCTAGAGTTCGAACACTTGCTTCTGCACGTATTGAGTTTTATAATCACCATCCTAAATTATTTTAAAAATTATAACTGAATTTTTAATATTTCAATTAAAAAAGGGTAAATATTTGAAACATCGAAAGCATCCATTTCCTCATCTTCACTGTTAAACATCCTAGAAGACATGCCTAATGTTTAAACATCATTAATGGTTGTTTCTTCAAACCAGGCAGATAATTACAATCATCAGTAGGTTGTTCTTGATCACGAGTTGCTCCATTTTCTTCAGCCTGATGCAACGTTTACCCTATGCTTCAACTCTCCTCGGCGGGTAGTCATCTCATCCAATATCTCAGCATCATAGGAGTCGTCGTCGGTACACTCACTGGGAGCAACAAAAGCTTCCCCTTCCCTGAGTGGTATATTCAGGTTCCTTTGCGGCGTACCGACGACTTCTTCATACTCAGAGGCATCGAGTCGGCGAAGATGCTCGGGGAGGAAGAACTTGGGAAGGACGTGCTCCCTGATGCTGATGAGGAGGAAGAAGGGTAACGGGAACAAGATTCCAGCTATAGGTATCCATGTGACTCCAAAACATATCAGAAGATATACAAATTGGAAGAGTGTAAATTTCAAAATGGCCTTGAAAGGCACAGATTCAAGAAATGATGCATGCATGCCTTCAAGTACTTTGTAACGCCTACTAGGAGTAATGAAGAGTAGCAGCATCCGTTCCCAGAATTGGCTTCCGGGGAGGCTGTCGATCGCCATATAAGCGAAGTATCCCCACAGTACCGATGTAGGTATCATTGTCAGTATAGGCACAGCGCACATAGACAATCCCACAAGCAATGACTGCAACAGGTTGCTTATCCTCTGCTCGTTAACTCGAATAGGCAAACGAGCATCGATATGTTTCGCGGGATCGAAATGATCATCCATCACAGCATCTTTCAAGCCCTTCAACTCTTTATCCACAACAGAGGGAGAAGGAGACGCATCCATCTCTAAGAACACCGCTTGCATCGTCCCGTAGATTTCCGATTTGCTCGCTTGTTGTGACATGCCGTCCTTGGCACTTTTCACCATTTTTTCCCTCATCATCTGCCTCTTGAGAACCGCGAGGCTCTTAGTGTGCATAGGAGACTGTGGAAGGACCCCATTTGAAGGAGGGAGGCCAAGCAACCCACAAATCAAAGTAGTGATTCCCAGCACAAGGATGTCATAATGGTATGCACTAGGCTTATTGAGGTTGAACTCCTCTTGTTGAGCCAACTGTGAAGCAACACTATGATCAAAGAAGTATAGTCCCGCTACCATCAATGCCGGTACAATGGCGGCGAAAATGTACGGTACCGGAACCTCTCCCATATCCTTTATCACTGTCCAGTGATACAATGATGCATCTTCCCAAAGACGTGGGCCGAACAATCTCCTAGGAACGCCGGGACTAACTTCACGTGGTATGGTATATGAAAGAGCCGTCCAACACAATACCGTCATCGGAACGCCATAGTCTGCAATAAAACCTCGAAGACTACTCGTTCCGTAAGGCCATGATCTCGCGTGTCTACTGAGGGAAGTGAATAGAACCCCAAATGAGAAAATGATTGCCAGCAAGCCATTTATGTACAGCCAGGGGAACTGATATTTCTCTATCATTGGGTTTTCACCTTTGGGAACATTGAACTCACTCACCACTCCCTTAATAGCTTCTTGAAGGAAAAGAACAGTTATTAACATGCCGAATAGCTCTCCTGCAACTCTCGTAAACCTGGTGATTATGTTGCATGCATTGAAGACGGCAAGAAGAATGAGCATCAAAGATGTCCATACGCAAACCCATGAAGTCCAAGCCAAAAACAGCTTCTGCCCCAACTCTGGTCTTCCTTTGCTGAAACTGTACAAATAGGTGTACATTATAACTGTAGGCTCTGCAACTCCTAATATCAACAATGGCTGCCCACCGAAGATGGAGTGAATGACTCCACAAATAGCTGTGGAAGCCAATGTTTCCACAGTGCTAAGGGTGCCATCTGTTTCTAGACTCAATTGCTCCCCAAAGGCAATAACAGGAAGAGCAGAAGCAAAGAAGATATACACAGTTGGAGCTAATATACGAAAGCCTGGCCAAATCCAATCATGCTTGTAGTACTTTCTTCTTCCCTGGATATCTTTGATTATCCCCTCCATTAGACTTGCTAGGTTTCCCATTGCCAATGGAAAACTAGAGTTTCCAAAGTTGAAGATGATCAACTAACACAAAAATGGAACTTTCAAAATTTTCCTTGAAATGATTTCTTTGTTTACAGAAAATTTATGAATGTGTAAAGAGAGCTTGTGAGGCCAATATATTCAGAAAATTGAGTGCGACTGTGGCGGGTTCTTTTCTATTTATGATGGAACTGATGGATAAAACTGGAAATTGAACAAATCATTTTCAGCTTTCGAATAACATAAACTGACGTTAAAAAACCAATGCCTCAACTGGTTTCTAATTCAGTTATAAATTGGTAGTTTAAACTGTTCATTTAGTTTAGTCGGTTAAATTAAAAATTGAGATTTTATTAGTTTGATTGTCAATTCAGTTCGTACAATTGTAGACTTTTTTTATATAAATTAATTTTCAATTAAATGTGATATATATTTCTTTTGATTTTATTTTTGGTGTATTTTTTGAAAAATCACCGGCGATCGGTATATTTATTGATCTAACATCGGTCGGATTATATTTCTCGATCTAACACCCGTAGCAGTAAAGTGCGCTCCTGAACCGCGTTATATGCTGATTTGGCGTCACGTAGGGTATAGCACGCCCCTTGTACCGCGCTATATGTTGACATGAGTTACACGTGTGTATAGCGCGCCCCTTGATCCACGCTATACGCCACGTAGGGGTATAGCGCGGATCAAGGGCCGCGCTATACGCCACGTAAGGGTGAATTATATTTAAAGCGGTCTCTGGTCCGCGCTATATATTTTATCTAAATAATTACATATAGTGCGGTGCATGTACTGCGCCTTATATGGTTATAAATACCTTCCTCCGCCGGTTAAGTTTCTCACATCTCCTCGCATCTCTCCTCTCAACTTATAAATTTATACAACAATTCCGTCAACAAGTAATAATTCTGGCAATCTTCTCATATTTGATTTAGAAGTTCGTGCGATTTTTCGTTATAAGGTAATTTTGTTATAATTTTTTAATTATACTTATTGTTTATTATCATTATTTGAAAAAATATTATACTAATTATTTTCAAATAATTTTTATGTTTGTAAAATTGAAAAGCGGGAGCATACGTCGAAATAGTTTTGCGGTGCAAGTAATAATATAAAATTATATTATTTAAATTATTTACGTTGATGTGTAAAAAATTTATTGTGTTATATTTTCGTTCATATATAATTTATTTAATTAGGTTTGTTTCAGTTATTTTTTTCTTCAGATATAATATTGTCGCACTTTTAAACTCAAAGAATGGCGCGACTTTCAGTTATTGTTTATTATGATGGTGAAATTCGAGAAGATGAAACCGGCGTTGTTTTCGTATCAAATGAGCGTGTTAAAATAGCATTCAAGAGAAACATAACTCTTGAGGAGCTGATAACGAAGATTTCGAGGAAAATTCATGTTGGAAGTAGTAGAAGAATGTCGTCGTTGCAGTACAGATTTCCAACATCATTGTTGCCATTAACTTATACAGCGTTCGAACTTTCAAACAATGATGATGTTCAAATGATGGTTGAAGCTCAAAGTAATTATTCAGACGCCGCTATTGAGATGTATGCATATTTTGTTCAAGTGCGTACTGTTTCGGGTCAATCATTAAGCTCCCACTATGGGCTGGCTGAACAAGTTGATCAAGTTGACAGCCCGACTACAGTAATTTGTAATGATTTTAATGTCATAATGGGGAGACATTCATCCGCAACTCCTTACGATATGTACTGAGGTGGGTCCACGAACAATCTGTATGGCAACACCACGTCCAGTTCAAGGGGAAGACATTCATCTGCAAATTTCTTTGACCTTAATATGGAGATGTCATCGACGCAACAATCTGTGCAGTTTCCATTTGACACGATGGCTTCAAGCTCCATGGGGAGGCATTCGACTGCGAGCTTTTTCGATCTCAATATCGATATGCCTTCTAGTTCAAGGGGAAGACATGCAAATAGTAGGTTCTTCGACCTAAATGTGGAGCGCATGGAGGAACCATTATCTCCACCAGAAGAACCGCTTCGTGAGCCTGGTACGGATGGTGCTAAGACCGGACTATTCATTCACCCAGAATCATCGCAATTCAACTCCGATGATGATGATGTAGATGAAGTTCCAGGAAATGTGACACAAACTGACCCTCCTGCACACATGTATGAAGCTGATTATGGTGTAATGTACGGGCAATAATTTACGGATATGCCTCATCTCGGTGACTATGGATATTACTCATCAATAAATAATGGTGAGTTATCTTTAGGCATGGAGTTTTCAAGCAAAGAATAACGATGATGACTATCAAAATTACATATCCGTAATTCTGTTCAGTCCAGAGTCACCGATCGACGATCGAAAATGTATGCTACTGTGCCCGACGCGAAAACGGATGCAATTGGATGGTTCGCGTATCGAAATGAAGAGGAAAAACAACATATGGAACTAACAATACAACGGTCCTCACACATGTTGTGCTGGAGGGGTCAACCAAGATCATCCCAACTTGGACTCTGAAATGATATGTCAAGCCATCATGCCCTGGTAAAATCAAGCTCTCATATAGCTATTGCATGTTGATTTATACAATCGCAGTATGGGTACAATGTCTCCTATAAAAAAGCTTGGTTGGCAAAACAAAATGGCATTGTCAAACTTCATGGCGAATGAGATGCATCTTACAACGAACTTCCAGGTTGGTTTAGGCTGGTGCGGACGTTGAATGTGGACTTCGAAACCTCTTATGCATACCATAATGATTGAGTTCTTCACGATCGAAGCCAATTTTATCGGGTTTTTTGGAGTTACCCACAGTACGTTAATGCTGCCAAATACTGCAAGCCTGTGGTCCAGATCGACGGGACTTTCTTGTATGGAAAATACAAGCAAGTTTTATTATTGGCAGTTGTCCAAGATGGCAATCGCACATTCTTCCAATTGCTTTGCTCTTGTCAAAGGAAAAGATACAGATTCTTGGGCTTTTTCCTCTGAAATTTACGTGCACATGTTATCACGGGGGAAACATTTGTGTCATTTCAGATCGCGAAGCTGTGATCAACAGCAATGGAGTCTTTGGGTCCAATGTATCAACCACCCTTTGTCCAACATAGGTATTGTCTCCGACACATTGTTGCGAACTATCATGGAAGGTACAAGAAGAATGATGAGCGTCAATTAATTGTGCGCATGGGTAAGTGAAAGCAAGTTAGTAAGTTATACATTTTTGATCATTTTAATTTTGCAAAGAAAGTAAGTTAGTAAGTTATACATTTTTTGATCAGGTTACGAACTACTTCCTCGAACGTTTGAATCAATGATTCAAGATTTGTGGGTGAAGAATGAGGAATGATACGATTACATCAACCTTATCGATAAAGAAATGTGGACGAACGCATATGATGGTGGATATCGATATGGACACATGACGACCAACTTGGCTGAGGTAATCAATTCAATCTTAAAGGGTGCACGTCACTTACCTGCAGCGGCTTTGGTAAAACTATATATTTTTGTTTGGGGGCACTTTTTACGAAGCTCGGGGGACAAGCTCAAACCTGGATGCAAGGCGGTCATGCCTATCACCCTAGATTAGTTGCAGATCTACAGAAAAAAATTGCTGCATCAAATGGAATGTCTGTAACAAGCTTCTCTAGAAGGCATGAAATGTTTCGTGTCACAGAGTTGTCGCGACCTCTTCAAGGGATTGAAGCTGTGTCATTAAGAGTAAATCTAAGGGACAGAACGTGTGACTACGAGTTTTTTCAAGCTCTGAAGTATCCATGCTCTCATGTGATAGCAGCTTGCTCGCATACACGTCAAGACTATAACCATTTTGTGGATCTCGTATACCTACTATCTGAAGTTTTTAAGGTATACGAATTTGAGTTTCCCCCATAAGTAATGACAAAGACCCTGATGAGGTTCAAGATTGGCTTCCAATTGTACCAAATCTGAGTTTATTGAGGGAGCGTGGTAGTCCAAAATCCAATCGAATTTATTGCAATATGGATATTCGAGAAAGATCTATACAAAGAAGGGCCATTGTAGAAACCCAGAACACACTAGAAATCCACTTCTGTTATCATCAAGTAATAATTGATGAGGAAATGATGTATTTGTTTATCAAATAATAATTCTTGTATTTTAATTTGCATTTACTTCAAGTTAATGTCATTCGATAATCGCTGATGACGATTAAAAAAACGAACACAATCATAAAATTTTATCAAACTAATAACAATTTGGTATTTAAATACAACAAACTTACAATAAGAATTAAATGGTAAATGATAACCAATACAATAACTGATATTAAATGGGTAAAACAAAATTAACTGAAATATATTAAAAAAATCCAACAAATTTAACAAAATAAAGTAAGTATTAAATGAGAAATAATAAAAATTTACAATTAAACAAAATAAAGTAAATACAAATATAAAAAAAATCTATCGATGTATGCACCGCGAATGTGTTCTACAGGGCGGTGGTTGTCGGTCTCGAGGAGGATTTCTTCGTATCACTGGTTCTGACTCCTCGCTGTCATCATCGTCGTCGTCATCGTTGTCGTCGTCGTCCTGAGCATGTACATTAGGTTGATGAGAGCTGATGACGATGAAGCACCTCCATAGAATAAGGACCCTGGAGGTGTAGACTGACTATCCACCGACCTGCGAAACTGGGAAAACCCAGACATCGCTGAGTGTAAAAACTGTACAGGAGGTATATGTGCTGCGGCCATGGGTGATGAGGCTGAACCCGCCAAATATCTAGTATATGAACCCCAAGTCAGATCTACAAACATACCCATAATAGCCTCCAGGAGGGGTCATCTGTGACGGTGGCGGCGGCGGGGTCATAAAACCAGGTGAAAGCGGCGGCGGCGACGTCTGCGCTCAACTCCCGAAAATTGGCATCTAACCAATTTAACATTATCCTACCTCCGATAAACCTTTCTGGGACACGTCCTAGATTATCCTGACACAAAGTAGTCCAAGAACCGGAAGCTATCCCTGATATCACATCTCCATCCACCGAAAGCCCCAGGTGCATAGAAACATCCTCAAGCGTGATCGTGCACTCTCCGTACGGAAGATGAAATGTGTGGGTCTCCGGCCTCCACCGCTCTACTAAGGCAGAAATAAGGTCTGGTTCTATCTTACAGTGACTCTGATATCTACCTATGTAACCAAATTCAGCCTCTACTAAATACGGCAAGACACGACTATGTATCACTAACTTAAGATTCCTAATAAAAGGATCTAATACACGGTCCTTCTCCTAAAAATAAATAATTACAAAAATTAATTCTTAATCTAATAATCATGCATTAAATAAATCACTAATTATTTATAATAATTTAAATTAAATTAAACGTTAAATGTTACCGTAGCAGCAAGTGTCGAGATATATTATCCATCCAAGCGAAGTGACTGCCTTCCATTATATATCTGCAAAGAAATTATATTAGTAAATATAATAAAGTAAAATACTTAAATAAATTAAATAATATTAAAAATATTATAAAATATACCTTAAACAGAGAGAGTATTTGAGAGAAATTGAGAGAATTTGGTGTGATGAAAGTGATTGAGGATGGGGGTATTTATAGGGAGGATTGGGGGTGTGGACAGGTAGGTAATTAAAGGTCTAACGCCCCATGTACCGCGCTATACCCCATGTGTCAGATAACCAGGTATAGTACAGCCCCTGATCTTCGTTATACCCCTACGTGGCGTATAGCGTGGATCAGGGGCCGCGCTATACCCACGTGTAACCTATGTCAGTGTATAACGCGGGGCAGGGGGCGCGCTATACCCCACGTGGCGCCAAATCAGCTTATAGCGCGGGGTAAGGGGCGCACTTTACTGCTACGGGTGTTAGATCGGGAAATATAATCTGACCGGTGTTAGATCGATAAATATACCGATCACCGGTGATTTTTCGGGAAAAACTCCTTTATTTTCGATGTATTGGATTTGCTATGATCAATTTTTCCAAAGTTTTAAATTTTGGTACCACCTATCATATTTTTATATATAGTTTATAAATAATAGCATATATTATAGGGTTGTTAATTGAGTTTAGTAATTTGAATGTAATTCTGTCGAAATTTGGTTAATGTTTGATTTAAATTGATTTAATTTAAATTTGAATATGGTTTGAGATTTTAACAAGTAGAGTAAATTTTAGCTCAACTATAAAAGTTTATATGTAGTTCGTTAATTTTTTTATAATTTTTAAGATATTATTTACCTTATTTTTAAAATTTATTATTTATTGTTAAACTTTTTATTCAAAAATAATCATAATATGTTAATGTGATGTATTTGTGGATTGTTATTTTAACTAAGACTTGATAAAAAAAAATAGACCCATTTTTGCACAAATGGTTATTTCGCCCTTTATTTATTTTAATTTTTTGAGCATTTTATCCTCAACATTTTAATTTTTGATAAAAAAAACCATCTTAGTTAAAAACGTTAGTTGGCTAATAATTAATCTATGCTAATGGCGTGATATGTGTCATGTCACCAAAAATGATAACATGACGTATGCTACATCAACAAAAACAATAATATGACATGTGTCATGTCAACAAAAGTGATGACCTGACAAGTGACATGTTAATAAAGATGATGACGTGTTTTGTGTCACGTCAGTAATTGAACACTTGTGAAAATATCATTTTAACAACCTGAGTTAATTGTTAGTCAAATTAACAGTTTTCATCAAACATAATTTATTTTGACAAAAAATTGAAACTTTAAAAGGTAAAACACTCTATAAAAAAAGAATGGGGTGCAAAGTGATTATTTGTACAAATATTCGAGGGTAATTTTTTCATTATGCCTTATGACTATAATATGTTAGTTTAATATATTTATAAATTGTTAATTTGAAGTTTAGACTTTGAAATTATTTTACAAATTGTTTTGATACTTTTTTTGTTAATTTATGTTTTTGTTAATCTCTATACAATAAAGCTAAATTTTATATAAATATTTTTTTAAAATAAAGTAAAAATTATAGCAACTTAACGAGCAACGAGTCTTTTAAATGAGCATGAGTTAAACAATAATTTATCGAGCTTATCAAATATTGAGTCTAGTCCAACTCTATTTGAGTTAAGTAGAGCACTACTCAATTCGTGATCAACTCCCTCGATAAGCACTCTTAATTAATTAAGGGCAAACTATACAGATGATCATAGTGTTTTCATTTTGATCGATTTTGGTTATCGGTTAAAAAAAATTATTTTTATACGTTACGTTATTGGTTCGTTCAATTTTAATCTTTTATTCGTTAACTTTCATTACCTCCTTAACGGAAGTGTTACGTGGTAGGCTGCCACGTAAATTAGTAGTAGGCTTAGAGGATTCATTTTGGACACGTTATAAGAATATGATAGGCAATGGCAAGAGAAAAGGAAACTTTACTGGTTGGTTATAGTTTTAATGATGGAAGAATAAGGAGGACACGTGACCAAATATGCTGTTTTTGTTTAAGTTCTTAATTGCCAACTCAGATTCATTAATGGGTTGATGGAAGATTAAAATCAAACTGGTCAATAATATAAGGGACTAAAGTTATTGTTTTTTTTAATTAATGATCAAAGGCGAGCAAATAAAAAACATAAGTGATCACCTGTATAGTTTACCCATTAATTAACAATCCAATCATAGTATACCACGTGTTTGATAAACACCCACACAGTCTTCTTCAATCTTTCTCCGATTCTCTCATATCTATCTATAAATAGGCATTACCGAGGCTTTGGGAGTATCGTCCATAAAACCCTAACTCTAGAAATATCATTGAAATTAGTCTTCGCTTCATCAATTCGCCAACATACAAAATGCCTCGCCGAAGCTCTGGTTTGTTTCTCATCTAGTCTCCTTTCTTTCATTTCAGATCTATTACTTCCCAAATTTATTTATTGCGTCTTTGCTCCATATTCTTTGTATTTAGCTCTGTATAATCCTACATCTAATTTAATCTGATTTCTAGGGTTAGTCTTTGTTCCTAGATTATAGCTTATTTGGCATGATTTGTTTCATTCTGGGATTGCTTTAATTTTTGGTCATTTGAAGATTTTCTTTGTGCTGGTCTTTTAGTTGATATATTTCCTCTTGTTATTGGTACATTTCTTTGCTGGGATGGCGATGAAAAGTATTAAATTTTGTATTTTATCTAGAGCAGGCTTGTCATTTCTTTCTTTGGATGTTGTATTTGTTCTTATCGTTTTGCAGGTAGGTCTGCTTCACGCCCAGCCCCTCGTCCTGCTCCTGCTCCTGCTCGCAGCCCACCACCACAACCAGGTAATTCAGGTTTTTATATTTCATTTTACGATTTTATTGATTTATTAACATTGATGTTTTTGGTTTTGGTGGGTGATTAGTTGTAATTATTTTATTAATTGAATGCATGTTTAATTGTATCATATTCTTATTGCTGCAGCTCATCGTGCTCCTCCTCCAGCTCTTGCTCAGAGTGGAGGTGGATCCATGCTCGGAGGAATAGGCTCGACCATAGCTCAGGGTATGTGAATAGATATCCTTCTGAGACGGGGAACTTATTAATTATGTCTGTGGTCGATTTGTGATGATTCCTTAATTTTTGTTCTTTATCTCCAATGTTACAGGCATGGCTTTTGGCACAGGAAGTGCTGTGGCCCACAGGGCCGTAGATGCTGTTATGGGTCCTCGTACTATCCAACATGAAACTGTTGTTTCCGAGGCGGCTGCCGCCTCTGCACCAGAAGCCGCTGCCAATAGTTTTTCTGGTTCTGACGCATGCAGCATCCACACCAAGGCATTCCAAGACGTATGTGAATTTCATTCATTGATACTTCTTTACTTGACAGTTTGCTAAAATGTTTATATAAGTTCTGCATGTCGTGATTGACTAGAACCTCAAATCAAAAGCTTTGTTCCCATAATCATTTTTTTGGTTCCGAGTTTCTCACTAATGGTAGATGCCATGGGTACTGATTCCTCGTGTTAGCATGCATTATCTTGAAACACTTTCGGGAGCGTCTACCGGCCATGATATACTGATGTTATGTTATTCTTGTGTTACTTGTAGTGCCTGAACAGCAATGGAAACGAAATCAGCAAGTGTCAGTTCTACATGGATATGTTGGCCGAGTGCAGGAAGAACACAAGGTCCGTGTTGGGTGCTTAAAAGCTTATTTTCATCATTTCTTGTCGTGCCATTGGAATTGTCAGCTCATTGGACTCTGATTTTCATTTGTCTTTGTGCTGTTGACGAAGGATTCCATTATGATCTCTTATGAATAATCAGCGTTAAATAATAGTATATAAATCAATTGTTGGAACATTGATATTGTTAATGAAACGCGACTGGTGTCCTTTCACTATTAATTATTCATTTTTTAGATTGATAGGTATTAAATATTTTTATAAAAAGATTAATTGGCACAATTTTAAAATTAAAAGGAATTAAAAAGAGATTTTTAAATCCATTGAGCTCTCTCAGTCGTAGGAGAAAGGACTGTTTTCTTTTAAAGTTGTGTCTTCTAGTAATTGTATTTATAGGGTGTGTTATCAATGATTTTGAATAAATATTATTTTATATCACTACAAATTATTTCAAAATATTATTAATTTAGATTTAATACAAACGGTTAATAGATTAAAAATACGGAGTTGATGAATAAAATTGACATTTTTTTTACTAAACTAACGAAATTGATATCGTAATGGAAGGGACTGAGTTGTGTTTGGGAGGATATTCGTAACAGCATCTTTTGCAATGTTCGTAAAGGAGCTCAAACTGATTTTTGGAACGATATTTGGCTTGATGATACTGGACCTTTGTCGGAGCACCTCTTGCGTGATGTGTCGCCACAACCAGCAGCAGTTTGTTCGATTATAATAACAGCATCAGGTTCTTGGAATTGGCATAAGTTGTCAATGTACGTTCCAGAAGAGATTTATAATAAAATAGCTGCTACTTGCCCACCGATTATAATCTCGGCAACGATACTCCAGGGTGGAGGTGGGAGACTACCTATACCTTTACAGTTAAATCAGCATACAATGTGTTATCTCCAACAACAACAAATGGGGAAGCTGATCCTTGGAAGGTGGTGTGGACACTTAAAGTACCGGAAAGGATAAGGGTCTTTATGTGACTCACTGTCCATGGGAGGCTGCTTACTAACGTGGAGAGGCAGCGCTGACATTTAATTACATCCGCTCGATGCTCCTTATGTCGAAGGGAGGATGAAGATATAACACATGTTCTTCGTAGATGTCCTGCTGCCTTGAATATTTGGCGTTGATTAATCCATGATGAAAATTTTCCGATGTTTATATCCATGCCGCACGATGAGTGGATCCTTACCAACGTGAAAAAGCAAGGTGATTTCCCGGTTAATGAAAGAAACTGGGATATGTTGTTTGCCGTTGTTTGTTGGAATATTTGAAAAAATCGTTGTTGCATTTTATTCCAGGATAACTACTTTGAGCATGAGGATTTGTTAGTTAAGAGTGTGAGTATGAAGAATGAGGTTGCGGAAGCTGTAGAATCAAGAACAGGAAATCAAGTTCGGAGTCGATCTATTGCAAGATGGAGGAGACCTACTTTGGATTGGGTGAAGGCCAATGCGGATGAAGCGGTAGGTGGAGTGCGGAAAATGACTGCAGCTGGGGGTGTTTGGATCTTCGGATTCGATCGCAGCCTTGCCATTTGTGTAGTCTTGACTGCAGAACTATGGGGAATACAGGATAGTTTATTTCATGCTTGGAATCTTGGTTTTAGGAAGGTGGAGGTGGAGATATTAAACCACACTTCCCATATGACCGAGAGTAATGCAATCGTCCTCTTAATTCGTGAATTATTAAGTAGGGAATGGGAGATAAAATTAAGCCATATTTGTCGTGAAGAGAATTCTGTGGCAGACAAGTTAGCTGCCTTGGCTAAGGACCGACCGATTGGGGTGACTCTACACCACACTCCCCCCAACGAAGTCGCTGTTTTAGTCGAACAGGATAGAATTCTATGTGCTAATTTATGTTTCCTCACTGTATTATCGAAAAAAAATTTGATTCAATCAGAGAAACACTTGTATATTAAAAAGTAATAAAAATTCTTTAAAAGTATAAAATTTCAATAGTTATGAAAATAAAAACCTCTAAATATTTTTTTTAAAAATCCATTTTCAATAATAAAAAACCCCATTTTTTAATAACAGAATAAATTCTAAAATTTTGAGAATTTTTAGGATTGTTTTTTTATATTTTTAAGAGCTTTTTGTCTTTTTAAATAACTTGGATGGAAAGCAAACACCAACGTTAAGTTTATTGAGGGGAGGGATTAAAGTAGGAAATGGAAGTGTGTAAACGTTAAAAGCCTGCAAATTTTGATTAAGCTCGTGGAACAGAAGTCAATAAAATAACATCAAAGCTCCAAACTAAGCATAGGGTTTACCCTAAGTTTCCTTGGACTTGCTGCGTTCCTATTTACATTTCTTTATTCTCAAAAACACAAATGAAAATAGAAACACCATCCATCATAATCTATCCTTGAGGAAACTGGTGCACAGTTTCTTCCATGCATCCTTGTGAGGCTCCACTTTCTCCAACTTCCCCTTCAACTCATCCCCATACGAATCCTGCATTCGTTTTCACCCAAAATGTCAATAAATCATCGATACAAGGAGCTCGGTTTTTGAACGTACCTCAATATAACATCGCTGCGTGAGACGATCGATTAGATGGAACAGGATGTCTTTGGTGTATTCAGGGTGGCCTTGGATGCCCATTATGTGATCCCCATACCTAAACATCTCGATCCCGGTTTTCTCGGACCATGCTATTACCTCTGCCATTGGTGGAAGTTCTTGAACCTAACATATTCAATCGTTCTTGTAACATAAACCGAAAACGTTATCGGTTTTGAACATTAAAGGAAAAAAAGGATTCAAACCTCATCTCGGTGGCATTCGATGACGGAAAGAGTGGTGGGGATTTTGAGAGAAGTGAAAAGGTTTGAGGAGGAGGAGGATATATGAATGGTTCTTACTCTAATGTCCCAACCCGAGTTGGCTCGTCCTGTTCTCCCTCCCAGTGCACGGCTAAGAATCTGGTCCGAATAAACAAACACCAATGGGATATGAGTCCAATCACGTGACATGAACTCGACAAACAAGGCAATGAATGAAGAAAATGATCCCAAAATAGAAAGACAAACTTATGTGGAAACCACGTGCTTTAGGATAAGCCGACAGTTGTCATCTCTCACGCTTGTATAATAAGAATTATTTATCAACATTCATGAATAAATTTGGTATCTCGTAGGAACCAAATCCAAACCCCACACACCATTTCATTCAAAAGAAAAGTATTATATTTAAAAAGGGAGAAAACTAGGGGTTGAGAATCTCCCATAATCATGTGAATTGTCAGCATTATCAACCAATATAGGAGAATTAAATACATAAATCAACTCGTATTCAGCACTACAACATGTGAGATACTAACAATTAATTAATCTTATGAGACGAGATTATAGATGATAATATGGTGGGTTAGAACAGATTTTTTATTAATCCAACTCGATATGAAAATTATACATCTTTTATTAGTATTTGATTCAATCTGAGAATTATACATCCTCAACCTAATTTGACCCGACCTGAGAAATATATTCTATTAGTCAAACTCGACACAATCCGAATTTTAAAATAAAAACATACATCTGATCTCACATAATCCAACGTAAATATGTGTATATATATAATTACTTTTATTTAATAAAATAAGGATCTAATTAAAAAAACTATATAGAAAGAGCATTATAGCAATTATCCTTAAATTTATAGAAGAAAATTATACTATTATCTTAAGTAGGTTAGAGTAAGAATAGAGTTTGAATTTCAACTTAGGAGAGGCAAGCCATAAACTTTTTGAAAGTAGAGGTAATTTATAACTTTCTCATAAATATTTAAATTATATATATAAATTAAATGTAAACAAACTGCGGGGTAAGGGGCTATACCAAGTACATCCGTCTCTAGTTAAAGTGAAAGATTTTTCATACTAAACTCGAACTTTATCTTACCCTCTATAAAATACAATACAATCTGAACTTGATTTTTTTAATAAAAAAGTTACTCTATCAAATCAGATTAAAATATGTCGATTTCAAATTAAAATTTGGAAGAAATCATAAATTTAAATGTTTATTTTAGGAAGGAAGAAAATTGAGCTACAAGGATCAATCTCATGAACAGGCTTATGTAATACTCCATCGGATATATCAACCAAATAATTGAACAGAAAAAATTATGTGACAAATGACTTGTGCTATTATCAAGTCACCATGTAACACCTAGGCTTTTGATAGACACACGGTATACCATTAATGTAGTTAAATCATCATAGCATTGTTAAAAATCAATATTGAAAAAGGAATGAAAAGAATTAACCTGGTGACCAAAGCAAATCCCAAGAACCTTCTTCTTCAAGGAATCCAATTTCTTCAAGAGAGAAATCAACCTACAGATCCAAACGTCATTCCCGTGAGCATCGTTGCAACTCCCGGTAATAACAAAGCCATCAAAATCGCCGATCTCTTCGTCGTCGGGAAACTCACCGTTCGCCACCCTGAAAACATCCCACGTCTCCCCTTCCTCCGCCAGCATTTCCACGAATACCCCGTAATACCCTCCGTACCTTATACTTACATAATCCGAATCCTCCGCGCACAATAGAACGGCAAATTTCTTCGCAACAATCATGATTCGAAATCTCTCTCAAACGAAAATGAATATCCCTGATCCCCCCTCTCTCTCTCTATATATATATGGCTAAAAAGCTTGACCCCTTTAGAGTTTAGAGAGAGAAAGAGATTCAGTCTTTCTCTCTCTATAATCTGCAGAGTGGGGGGATAGAGAGATTCAAAGACTCATTTTGGGGGTAAGAAACGCAAAGATTTTGGGTATCTTATAAAGTGGCAACAACATAGTTTCGGATAGTCCGAAATGACAAAAATAGCCTTCAGCTTTGCCTTTTTTTCTTTTATTGGATTGTGGTTCTTAGCTGGCTCTACGCTGGGGCCACCAACTTTTTTTCACCGATTAGCAAAGAGATAATTATGCATTTGGTACTTAATACTTTGATTAAATGTTTAATGTGATAATAATACTTTGACTCATTGTCTAATGTACTACATGTATTTTAAAAATATTTAATAAGATATATGTATTTTGATAAAACATATAATGTGGTACCTAAGTTATATTTTTTTGTATTTTATTATAGTAATTTTAAATTCTTATTAATTAATTTGATGTTTATGAACAACGTGTACGTAAAATGATAGTTCATGTACGATGCTTACAAATATTACTGACTCAACTATCATTGATGCATCTTTAGGTGGTAAAATCATTTACTTTCAATATTTCGAAGAAGTTATTTTGCAAGTTTAGAAGATCATTTTATGTGTGAAACTTTTTTGAGTGGGATCTAAACATTTTATAAGTTGAGGGGTCTTCTTATAAAACGTCCAACTATCTCTTGGATTTACAACATACATTAAAGCACATTAATCAAGTACTGATATTTTAAGTTGTGATCATTTGAGTGAAGATATCAAAATTATATGGATTAAATTAAAAATTGTATTCACTTTATTTGTATTTAAATAAGATTAGTACACTTTAGAAAACATTAGAACGAGTATATATTGAATTAGGATTTTGATTTTAAGAGTTTTAATTAGATTTCATAATTTCTTTTAAATGATTTATTGAAACATATCTTTAAAATTTTATTTGTTTCAAAAGTTTGATGTGTTGTTTGCTTTCCCTGTGAGATACAATGAATTTCGTTTCAAGGTTGGGTGATTCACCTGGTCTTTTTTCTCGTTATCTATACTAGGTAAAAGTTATTTAGGGGTGTTACAGGAAGTCGTCTAATTATCATTGTGTTACTTGAATTGAGATTCGTTCACTTATTATAAAAAATAATTATTTATTTTTTACTATGTATTAGTTCTAAATACGATAACTAATACTTAAGCGATTAATTTCATTGTCAATCTTCGCGTATTTTACTAAAAAATTCTTCATCTTTTTTTAATATTGTTATTATTATTATTATTATATTCGTGAATACGTGAACGGGATGATAAAACTTAAGTAGATTTTTTATTAAAACCCTAAAGATTTTAGGTCTCTATGTAACGTATCGTTAGGTTTCATTTTCCCTTGGATGAATTTGAGCTATTTTTCTGTCTTTTGCATGTGACTCGATTCCAGAATCTTATTGCCTAAGAAGTGCACAAATAACGCTCCAGGTTCATTTTATTTTGGTAGTAATGTACTAAGTTACATTATTGTTCTTGTAACCGGTGCTTTTCCATGTCAGTCAGTGGTGGATGTAAGGTTCTTCAGGGTGTGAACGAGCAAATGTCCATTCTGAAATTCAAAATCTTCTACGTTAGTTATCTATTTTACTAATTAAAATTTTGTTTGTGTCCATCCCATATAAAAAATTTATTTTATTAATATATTTTGAATCCGCTATTCCTCCTAGTGAAGTTTCAATGTACAACTCTTTCCCATGACCAATTCCAAGAAGTACTAAATCACCATGTTTTGAACAACTAAGAACACATTCTTCATGATTTGTACCCATCATATGTACACCATATTAAAATCCCAGTTATATTTAGTGCTTGTTTCTTTCCCAAACTTCAGTGCGAACATGCATAAGAGTTAACTATTTCTACTGTATATGACATTCATAGCCATGAGATGAGTTGCAGGCAGTTGATGGGGGAAGAACTTTCTGGTTTAAGCGTCAAAGATCTACAGAGCCTAGAAAACCAGTTGGAAACGAGTTTGAAAAATGTTCGCATGAGAAAGGTAAGAGTAACAGCTTTAAAACTAGGATGAAATTTGCGTTTATAACACGCAACACCCAATTATATATAATTTTCATATGCAGGACCAAATTCTAACAAATGAAATCCGAGAGCTAAACCGCAAGGTTACAAAACTTTTGCTTTTGCTGCATTTTCTTCTGCAGACTTCTCTTGTTGTGTAACTTTCATATATGGGATTGCGGGGACACCTTATTCATCAGGAGAATATAGAACTACATAGGAAGGCAAACCTTATCTGTCATGAAAATATTGAACGTCAAAGGAAGGTACACACCAGATATCTGCTAAGAACATCAGCTCACGTTAAGCAAATGAATAATTTTTTTTTCCTCCTGATAATACTAAGCAGCCAACAAATTTTGGGTCACAGGAAGCAAATGAAGGCAGCAAGAGCTCCGGCCCCAGTTATGGTTTCAACAATGGATATGATTTGCATGCACCTGTTAATCTCCAGTTGCTCACATAGAAATATGATCAGACTGTTTTAGAAACTAAAGCGTTTTAAGAAAGCAGATGGTCCTCACAAACTGTGGATGGACTCATCAGTGCTCCATCAACACATCTTGCCCACTGTTAAAAACTAAAGCTTGAATGAGCAGAGCTTTCATGTTCTAGCTACTAGATAAAGTATGTACAAATTGCTGTAAAAAAATAGAGAAACAAGTTATAAGATGTAAATATATGTAATAAACAGGATGACTGCCTTGTATGAGGAAGGGAAAGAGTGCTGATGTAATTTTGAGAAGTGATCCTCAGCACAAAAAACAATATCAAAATATACCAAGTAAATGATAATTTGGGTTGTTTTATTATATTAAACTTTGATTTTTTATATATTACTAGTGTGGTTTAGGGCCGGGCATTGGTCGAGTTTGGGTTGTGTTTCGGTCAACCTTATCCCACCCAAAATTTTTACATATTTTATCCAACCCGATTTGATCCGAAAAATATATATCATCCATCCGAACCTGATCCGATTTTTTGAGATAAAATCCGAACTTGACCCGAAATAATAATAAAAATATTATTTTTATTCAATAAAAACAGAGATTTAATTGAAAAAATATTATATATTGGAGTATTGTAATTATTCTTAAATATATAAGATAAAATTATATTTTTTGGATCGGGTCGGAACCCCTCGGGTTCGAGCCCCATGCTCATCTCTAGTGTGGTTTGTAGGTTTAAATTGTTAAGGGAATTTAATGAAATTTAATAATGATTATTTTTACACTTTTACTGAAAATATATGAATAATAATTATCATTATCTTTATTTGATATTAAAGATAAAATATTTAACTCCATAAACAGATTAAATCACCAAATATCCTTAATTATATTTTAAAAATAATAAATAAATAGAACATAGAGTTAAAAACATCACCACCGATATACAAAATATTTACAATTAATCCTTAAACTTTTAAATACTCCAATTTTATCCCCATATTATGACTCTCGTTTTAAATTAGTCCTTAAAATTTTGACTAATTTCACCCCTAAACTATGAACCTCTTTCTAAATCAGTCTCCAAACTTTCGAATATTTCAAATTCATCCCCAAATTCACCAAAATATGTAATTAGGCTCAACCACAATTTAACCTAAATTTTTTCCAAACATATATTATAACTTGGCCTAACAATTTTATTAACAAGGTATGTGATTAGTATATGCATATAGTTTGGGATGAAATTAGAATGTTCAAAAAATTTGGGACCAATTTAGAATAAAGGTAGTTGAGGTGAAATTGAAATGTTCAAAAGTTTAAGAACTAATTTAAAATGAGTGTCATACTTTGAGGACATATGATATAATTACCTCTAAAAAGATCTCAAAACCTAACTAAGTAACAGCTCTAACTCCAACGCAATGAAACCTGGTCCATAATATGGGTGCTTCTCGAACTTAACTCGGTCAAAGCTCGATAAAAACTCGATTCGAACTCAAGCTCGAATCGAGACTTTAACAAGTTGATACGAGCAAATTCCAACTAGATTCGATAAGTTCATGAGTATCTCGTTAATTTTTTTATATAATTTTTTCAGTAGTTATCTTAAAAAATTATCTAATTAAAAAAATACTATTTTACTAATAGATAATAAAAAATATGATAAATTGAATCTATTAATTTTCTAATAAACAAAAAAAACTAAATTATTAATTAATATTTTACTACACTAAAAAATAAAACCATATTTGTTATTTTAATATATTTTTGGATTGTTACTTTGAAGTTTAGACTTTGAAATTGTTTCATACAATTTTTTTGATAATATTTTTAGTCAAATTTATTAATTTATGTTTATATTAAGCTTTGTATAGTATTAGTAGATTTTACTTATAATTAAGAAAACAATGTAAAAATTTCGGCGAGCTTAACGAGCAACGAGTCGAGCAACAATTTTTTTAACGAGCACGAGGCGAGCAAATATTTAATGAGCAAAAATTCGAGTCGAGTCAAGTAACAAATTTTTTTTAACGAACACGAGTCGAGCACTTTCCAACTCACGATCAACTCGATTAATAAGCACCCCTACTCCATCATCTCAGGAATTGGGCCTTAAGATCTGCGGTCCAAACTTCATCACAGGCCGGCATGTTACCCATAAATAAACTAAGAAATTACTGAAATTTGAAACCCACCAACCCAACTCAGTTCACTCACCACAACATGCCTCACTGGATTGGCGCAAAATTGAGGCTAATTTCACGCCAAACTTCGAATCCATGGCAGCCTCGAAAATTCCGATCAGACGCCGCGCTGGAAGCGATAGCGAAAGCGGCTGAAGAGAAAGTCCGAACCGTGGCGCTTTACAACTACCCCTCATTTTCCGGCGCAATCTCCGCTCTCTTCTCTCACCTCTACCACTCTCGCCTTAATCTCTCTTGCCTTATCTTGCCTTTCTCCTCCGTTGAACCTCTCAGGTTCTTTAACCGTAACATTTCAAATTCCAAGCTTCAAATTATTCAAACATCAATTTACTTATAATTTCTTTGAATTTCACAGGGTCGAAGATTTTTGCTTTGAAGGACAGGGACTAGACAAGTGTTATCTTCTCGACTTCGCCGGTCCAAAAGGATTTGCGACAATGCTTTCACAGCAATCAATGTGCGAGTACGTGGAGTTTCCAGTTTTGCTTCTTCTGCTTCCTCTTCTTTTAACTCCGATAATCATTTCGCTTTACAAACTAGTTGAGACTCTAATTATTTGAGATTTTATAGAGTGATAGCCTTTGATCATCGAAAGACGGTATTTTCACAAATCAACTCCTCTGGAGATCTCAGAGTTACATTCAATCTTAACCTTGAGAAGAGTAGCTCTATTGCTGTATACGAGTATTTTTCTAATAAGCTTGCGACTATGATGTCTCTTGATGTAAGTATACATATGCATTATTCTGTTTCTTTGCTGTGTTTTACTAGTGATTTGATTTTGTGTATGCGTGTTTTTGTGTATGTTTATGTATGTATGTATGTATAACCTAAAGACTAAATGGTTAATTTTTTTCTTAATTTGAATAAGGTGGGGGTTGCCAATTTGTTGAACTCAGAAGACCGAGGTCGTGTTGAAAATGTTCTGAAATATATTGAAGATGCAGATCTTCGTAGATGGAGCTTACCAGAAATTAAAGCTTTTATGATTGGAATTGGTGAATTGCGTTCCAAGTTGAATTGCATCACGAATCCATACATGTATGAGCAGGTTCATTGCTCAGAAATTGATCCTTTTTCTAATTTTATTTGTAGGACTATGGTTATTTTGATGAATTCAAAACTTGAACTCATCGCATTATGCTTTTTCAGACGATAATTGGTGTTAAATTTTTTCAAAATTTTCCCTAATTATTTACCCTGCTGATAATATTTCCTTAGTCGTTAACACTTAGCACTATAACTTGCATAATTTGCATCTGAAAGGTTTTTATATGATTACATTTTGCATGACCTTCACAGTTTTTCTAATGCTGAAGCCTTGTGTTTGCAGTTACTTGGGATCAGTTCTACTGATTTGATTGCTAAGGGAAATCTGCATATTTCCTCTCGCCAAATAGCTGCAAACAAGTTTCTGGATAAGACATTTAAAGTTCGATTGGGCCGAGGATTGTATGGGGAGTGCCTGGTAATGTCACAACAAATGTTGCATACAATAATCCCTGAAATAGATATATGTTCTCTGTCTTGAGTTGTATACTTTTGAGATTTAGGGTTCCATTCGTTACTTCTGAGTTACGGATGTGATCATACAAATCCCATGGAGTCTGTAATCTTCTCTGATTAAGTTTTGTCCTTTACTTTGGTTATATAGGGAGTTAGAGCAGATGGAAACTCTCATTTAAGCGATGAAATTGGCAAGCAACTTAGCCTAAAAAGCGCCACTGCGGGTCTAAGGTAAATATATCAGATGTAAAATCTTTAAGGATGAAGACTACCTAGTGCTACCAAGGTTGTCAGTACCATACTGGTACAACTGGTTCCGGTAACCATGTTCCCTTCTGAACAAACAAAATTCTCATTGTGGTATGTATCATTATCTCTTTTTCCTACCGGAACCGATATGGTATCAACAACCATACTCCCTTCTACACAAACAAAATTCTCTATGTGGTATTGTTCACTCTTTTCCAATCAAGCAAGATATGATCATTGTTTTTTGTGTTACAAATCATGCATTGCTGATGTTAGGCCCATAGGAGCTGTTATATACATGCAAAGGAAAAATCTGAAGATGTGCCTAAGAAGCACGGACATTACAACCGACACATCTGAAGTTGCAAAGGTAGGCATCATAATTTAATGCAGTGGTTTGTGTTATTGTATTTAGAAATACTGTGTGATAAACCTTGAGAATGATTTGGTTTCCCTTTTGTATAACTTGAAGGCATATGGCGGGGGTGGGTGCCCAAGTTCCAGCTCCTTTATAATAAGAATGGATGAGTATAACGAGTGGCTGGCGGGAAACCTGTGAAGGTATTAAATATTTCCCGGAGCCTCTCAATTGACAATGACACAAGGCAATTAATTATAGGGTCAACTATGTATTTAGTCACCCAACTATCAATTTGGTTTTGTTTTGGTTCTGTTTTGATCACATAACTATTTTTTATTAAAAAATTATATCTAGTGTTACGTTTTTATTCTATTTTGGTCACTTGTTAAAAAATAAACAAAACTATTGACATGACAATTTTCAAATTACATTAATGGTGAAATAACCCATTATTGGTAGTAATTCTCTTTCGTTGGTTCGAGAAATAAAGTTACAATAAAGATGTTGGATGATGAAAATATAATGGAATATTTACTAATGTAACATGGTAATTGATGGAATGGTCAAATTGACAGATTTTCAACACTTTCAAATAACAATCTATGGTAATGCTTCGAAAGAGATTCAAAATTTAATGGTCAGATATATATTTGATCTTTCTTAGTAAGGATATATTGTTTCTTAATTCTATGGTCAAGGCCTCCTTATAGTTAAAAATACTTGTACAATGTATAAAATAAATATATGAATTATTATAGATAAATAAGAAGCAAAGGTCTACTGCTTGAGGAGTAGCACTTTTGATCAAAGATCTTAAAAATAAAAGAAAGAACACCTTGGAAAAGCTAAATGTGATGTAGAAAAGGTCAAGGGGGTGAACATGTCTTATCTTCCCAATGAGCATCGACTTTTGGAATGTCAGAGGATTAAACAATCCTCAAAAACAAAATAAAGTCCTTCAAAGAGCTATTCGGTATAAGATTGATGTTCTCTGTCTGATGGAAACTAGGGTTAAACTTGAAAATTTTGAAGAGATTTATAATAATAAATTCAACAACTGGAACTTTTTGACAAACTATAATTTTGCTTCTAATGGAAGAATCTGGTTTATTTGGAAAAAAGGATTGGTCCTCTCTTTTTGTCAAGCTACTACCCAAAGTATCACTGTTAAAGGTCTCAGAAATGGTCTCCCTTTTTATATTTCAGCTATTTATGGTAGTAATGATGGTACTCAAAGAAGATATTTATGGCAACACTTAAAGGACCTTGACTCCAATTATGGATCTTGTCTCTGGATTCTAGGATGAGATTTTAATATAATCCTTCATCCTACTGAAAATTCAGACCATGACATTTTAGGTCCTTTTTCTTCCTCTGGAATGAAGGATTTTCAAGACACTCTTCATGATCTACTTCTACAGGATCACCCCTTCTTTGGGCCTTTATTCACTTGGAGCAATAAGCAAAAAGACTCATTCATTGCTAGAAAACTTGATAGAGTCCTTGTCAATTCTTATTGGGTCTCCTATTTTCAAAATTCATTTGTGGAATTTGTTGCTCCAGGACCTTCTAATCATTGCATGTCCCTTGTCTGACTCCATAAAGATTCTCAAGCTAATCATCCTAACCCATTCAAATTCTTTAATTTCTGGACCAAACATCCTAACTTTCTCCTTGAGGTTCAAAATTCTTGGCAGCAGCCAATTCATGAAAATCCTATGCTGTCCCTATTTCTCAAGCTAAAGAGATTGAAGAACTGCTTGAAAAATTTAAACAATGACTGTTATAGTAACATTTCTGCTAGATTTAAACATAAGAAAGATGAGCTGGAACATTTCTAACTCTCTACTCTTCAAGGAAACAGCTCTATAGATACTGAACTGAAATTGCAGAATGAACTTTATACTCTTGAAGCTGCTGAAAATCTGTTCCTAAAACAGAAAGCTAAAATTCAATGGCTCAAGGAGGGTGATAAATGTTCCAAAATTTTCCATCATGTCATTGCTTAAAAAAACAAAAGAGACACTATAAGAGTTCTTGAAAATGATCAAGGCAGTAAGCTTGATTCTTTTGATGAAATAACCTCTGAAATTATTCTTTATTTCCAAAATCAATTGGGCAAGGTTGATCAAAATGTTAAAGACAATGATCTTCATGCTCTTAAACACCTTCTTTAGCTCAATCTGTCTTCTGAAACTATTGCAGAACTGGAAAAGGACATCACTGCAGAGGAAATTAAAGAAGCTTTCTTTTTTCAAGGAAATGATAAGGCTCCAGGGCCTGATGGTTTTACTCCTTACTTCTTCAAATTCACCTGGTCAGTGGTTGGGGAGGATGTCATTAAAGCTATTAAATTCTTTTTCAGCAATTCCTATATTGTAACATCCTAAATCAGGGTCAGTGACTAAATTACAAATTTTAAAAACTATGTGCTCGATTTCGAAATAAGTTAAAAGTTCATGGATTTAATTGAGGAAAGTTGAAGTTGGATTTAATGGTAAAGTTTGGAAATAACAAGGGTATTATTGTCTTTTCTAAGAGAAGATTTTTATTCTCTTTTTAAGGGATATAAAAATGTGGGAAAGGAGATAATTTCTCCAGAGTATTCTTCAGTCTTCTTCTTCCTCCTCTCCACCGTGAAGCCTTGTATAAGGTAAGTGGGTCTTCAGTTGGTTAATTCTTTCGTTTTAAAGCTTGTTTTGATTCTTGGGATGCTAAGAAAGATTAAGGAAAGCTTTAGGTGGCTTAAAACTCAAAGATTAGCAAGTTATGAGAAATTAAGAAAAATGAGTTTTTAAGTGAATTTTTGAAATAGAAAGAGTTAATAGATTTTGAAGTTTAATTTGACTTGTCAATGGTTAAATTAAGATATATGAAGTGATAGAATGAGTTTTAGAACATGTTGGAAATTTAGTGTGATTCTTGAATGTCATGTAAATGATAGAATTTTGAGTTTAAAGAAGTGATTATGGAGTAGAAATGAGTTTAAGTATGTGTATGAAAGTTAGGAATATTAAAGGGAGTGAAGTATGAAGTGTTGAGCTGAATATGAAGTGGTTTTCAAGCTAAAAATATGATTTCTGGGCAAGGGGAATCGGTACCCGTTCAAGGGGAACCAATACCCCTTCAAACGAACAAAAATTTCCAGAATGTCATGAGGGAATCGATACCCCCATAGTAGGGAATCGATTCCCCCTAAAGGAAAATTGTGAATATTGGTTTAATAAGTTCGTTTAAGTTATTAGTATCAAATTACAAGATATATGTATCTAATATTTGTCTTAAAATGTATAATTATGTAGATTCAGAGCCTAATCAAGTTCCGGAATCATTGACAAGTAAGATCGATCAAGGGGAAAGATAAGAGATTAGAATTGACTAGTGAGGCCAGGTGAGTGCATACAAGTTAGTTTATGATGTTTAACGGAAATAAGACTTGCGACAAGTCTATTTCCTATATTAGAAGGCCTAAATGTATGATCATATGCATATGTTTGATTTGGGTATATGTGATATATATATTATAGTATGTATTAAATGATTTGTGTGAATGTATGCAGTGTGATAAGTTATAGGAATTAATATGAATGATATATATGATTACATGAGAATGTGAAATATGTTATATGATAGGTGACCATACATGTTACATAGTAAATGTGATCAATTATAAGAATCAATATAATAGATTTATATGACTACAGGAGAAGGGTGATGAGTTAAATAAGATTAGACTATAGAGTAATATGAGAATAATATATTAGTGAAGGGAATTGAGTATAAATGATGATGCCAAACTATAAGATAAGTGTTATAGAGAAGAAGTATATTTAAAGAGAATTATGGTATAGGATTTAAGTAAAATTTAACTAAATAAATAGATTAAACTGGTATAAATGGAAAATGAGATAAGTTAGGTAGCATTTACCTAGGAGATAACATAAGATCATATGAATAAGTAGCATAAATGACATAAGGAAAACTTATGTGTTATATGATTTAAGCATTGAAATGAACAAAAGATATATTCAGGTGAAGTTATTCGGTGATATGAGTATATGTCATTATTATACGGTTTAGATGAAATACTAAACATGAATAAATGTGATTGTGTGAGAAATGATAGAAACTATATGAGAACATGTATATGTGAAAGTAAACTATGTGATTATATGTTATATGAATACAAGAACCTGAGATATGTAACATGTGAATTATATGAAAATGATCTACGTGTAAGTGAACTATATGACTATGTGATTATATGAAAAATGTGATATTGAGCTATGTTCAAAAACTATGAGACTACGTGCCCAAGTAATATGAATATATGAACATGTGAAATGACCTAAATGATAATGCCCATGTTATGTGTCATGAGAGCTAGGGGTATAGTTGGCATGCCAAGAGTCGAGGGTCTACGCGGTCCTTCAGGATATATATATATTCTTTGGAACAAGTGTGAAGTCTTGTGAGACACATACTTGATCCCTAGTATATGTATATGATTCTTAAGGAATGATATGTGGTTCTTATGGACATTATTATATGGCACTTTAGTGCATTTCTACGCGGCACTACGGTACAATTCTACGTGACACTTCGGTGCATTTCTACGCAACACTTCGATGTATTTCTACGCGACACTACGGTGCAATTTTACGTGGCACTTCGGTGCATTTATACGAGCTATGGTGACAGCATTAGTGCACAACCTCTATAGACTCACATATATATAGTTCTCACATGTGTTCATGGGCAAATAAAAATAATAAGATAAATAAACTTGGTATGATTATATGTTTATTTCGTTGTGAACTGATATATGTGCTATGATGTGATAATTAAGGATATTATGGATAAGCGTATAAAATTATAAGGACTAATGTACAAATTGATAATAATATAAATGATTGTACATAAATATGTATGTTTTTATATAATGATATATGTGTTTCTAATGACATGGTACAAGTGCATATATATGTTGATGTATATGTAAATAAGCTATATGATTTGATAGCATAAAACAGTCATGCATGATTAGTGGGTATGAATTTCATTATATGTGTTTTTATGCCTCACTAAGTCATCGACTTAGCGTGTGATTGTTTCACACGTAGGTTACAGAAGCGAGAAGAGAAGAAGAGTTAGACAGGTCAGCACATCCCTTACAAAATTTTATATCAGAAAATAGAGG